GCAGCTACCATAGGAATACTAGGCACAGCCAGGGTCTGAAATCTCCTCCAACCTGAAAAGATTCTTAACTGTGCATAAAAGAGAATCTGAAAGTTGCCTGTGAGCTTACACCTGGTCCCAACAGAGCCTCTTCATCAGTATTCCAAACCAGACCCCAGGAAGCTAGGGAAAGAATCTTGCAAGCAGAGAAAAACAGGTGAATTTCTTTCCTTCAAGCCTAATCTGATGATTTCAATCTATATATCCTAATATCTCTCCAGTGTTCTAACCACTTTATTTCTTTTAAAGAATGCTTCTGCAGGGAATTAACACAAGTAACTTCCTGACTGATTAAACACATTGGCCACAATGTAGCAGGTGCTTTCTAGCACAACAGAATTATCAGAAATCCCAATAGAAAATTTATCAAAGCTTTGAAGCACTGGTGGGTTAAAACATCTTTTAGATTTTATAACTGAGCTGATAATCTGGTTAGAATTTAACATCCTTGAAACAATGGCATAAGAAAAATCTTAATGTAATGGAATTGTTCATATAAATACAGAAAAATTTTAGGGTTATGAGTTTTTCAAACAGATTAAAATCAAGGTGGGCACAATGGCACAGTCTTATAATTCCAGCACTCAGAGACTGAGGGAGCAGCAGGGGTGCTGTATGTTTAAGGCCAGACAAGCTAGGGCCACTTGTCTTAAAAAAAATTAAATCATTCCCTCATACAAAAAATAATATGTGTTTAGGATTCTTATTTGATTCACAACTGAGGAAACTGGTAAGGTGCTATTATTAGTTCAAAAGAGAACACAATGGCAGACACAATTATAGGTTGGAACGGCTAAAATCAATGGGCAAAAAATGCAAGGCCACTTTTCATAGAGGCCTGGGAGCCAAGCAAACTTCTGTGGGATGTAATTTACATGTAAATAGCTAAAAATTTGTTCTACCAAAGTTTCTGATTTTCTTCAGGAATATTTCAAGTTCTTCCATACTGAACCCTAAAAGTATCGTGCATTTTTCTGTGTGTATATCTATGATAAAGCTGAACTTATATAAATTGGGCAAAGAAGAGACTGGCCAGAATAACCAATAAAAATACAAAACAGTAAAAGTTAGGTGAATACAATCTCTTCAAACCACAGAATTTTCCACTAAACACTTTCAGACCACGTTGATCCTTATTTTAATATCCTATTAGTAATTAAAATTAATAAAGCAGAAGGGCAGACAAAAGTGGGAGGTTAGTGCATGTTAGTCATCTACACCTGAGAGTTGCAAAACAGCTCCCTACAGTCAGAATTAGGTAACACAAATGGTCTGGCAGTATTTTAAGACACACACACCTACACACACATACACACACAAGCCCCAGGGGTCACCAACTACCTTAGTTATTTCTCAAGCCCACTGAGTGAATGGTAACTACCATAAATACTCGCTAAATGTATGAATGGCCACTATTTCTCAGCATTAAGCGTGGCCTTCACACGCATCATCCCATTGAGTCTCCCCAATGACCCGTTAAGTTAAAAATTATCCTCATGTGACTGATGGGGACTAGCTTATTTGATATTACCCAGTTATTGTGTCTTAAAGGTTGGGGTAGAAACATCCAAGAGGATTTGACTCAGCAAACTCACCTACTGCTTTTCAACTTCTGTCCAATTATCATACACTCATTTCAGTTACCATTACTGGACAGGCTGCCGCTAAATCAAGGGTATTTATATGCTACGCTGACAGAACATGGTCCCTCAGTGAGGAAGAAACTGTTTATCTTTGTGTTAAGAAAAATAAATGAACAGCATCCCTCAGCAGACAGGGAAGTGATCTTGTTCATAGCCTTTCAGATTAGCACAGGGGATGTACCAGCCAGACTATTTTGTTTCCCTTTTGGGAACTCTTTTCCCAGTATTCAGGATAACAGAGCTTCCTGACTTCAACGATGTGTATATGTGTGGTCAGCTTTCTCAGAAATCCAGACAGCGCATGGGAAAACTCAGCCAGTCCACACTTAGTAGGGTGCTTCCTGTGATGTGGTCACTCTACTCTTCTGAGTAGCATCACGAGGGAGGTGCTGTGACTGTCTGCCTTGCATAAAAGAGAAGCAAACAGGAGTTCCCTGAGCAACTTGTAAAAATCAACCAACCAACCAATGAATGAATGAATGAATGAATCAATCAGTCACACAGTAATGCTGCCTCTCTGGGCTTTGTCCTGTTCTTTGCAATAGTTCTGCCATCTCCCCAAGTCACTCTACTGGCTGCACAGGTTATTAAAATTTGACATGACATTGCACTTTAACTTTTTGTTGTTCTGTTTTGTTTTGAGACAGAGTCTCATGTATCATATAGTAGCTTGTAACTCACTAGACACTTATGGATAACCTTGAACCTTTAATTTTTCCCATTTCTACACACCAAGTGGTAAGATTATAAGTGTGTGCTACCATGCTTGGTTTATCTGGTGCTGGGGAACAAATCCAGGGCTGTGTGGAGCCCAGGCAAGCACCCTATCAACTAGCCCCATCTCAGTTTTTCATGAGCTTCTCTTCTCATCATGGGCACCAAAGGTCCTGGGGTTCCCATACCTTCTATCATCCTGTGGCCAGACACTGCAGACTGGTTCAAGTACTAGTTTCTGTTCATGTGGGATGATTTAGGTGCTGTACATTCATCCTGAGGAAAGCAGCGGTCAGAGATCAAGTAAAGAGGGTGGTGTTCTGTGGCTTTCAACAGGTGAGCATCAAAAAGATGTGGACCAAATGCCAATCTGAAAATATTCTTTCTGTTCCGCAAGTCCCCAAATAATTTCCTGCTTTCTTTGCCTGCCACAAAATATGTTGGTTTTAGAATGAAGTCATGGAATTTTTTTTTTAAAAAAAAGAATTCCAGATAAGATTTGACATAAATAAATTTTTCAGGTAGAAGGGCTGGCCAATGAGGTTTAATAGCTTGCAGCTTTATTATGAACTTAGACCTTTGTGGTGCTTTGGTGATACCACATGTGTCTTTTGGATACCAAAGATGCTCTTCAGAGCATCATGACATCTGTACAACATGCACCTCATTCCCATTCCTTTTGCTCGGGTCACTTGGCCGAGCTCTTCTCAGCACTGAGGTTGTTCACTGTAAAGGTACATATTGTTTGCCTTCCCTATATAAACCTTTATAAAAATCATCTGTTTCTGAGGGCATGCCATAATTCCCACAATTAATAAGTGATACCAAGTAAGTAAGATGTTCTTTCAAGTAAGATTGTGAAAAGGCATTGCTATTACCATAATGCACAAATTAGGAAGCAATAAGAAGCCATTATCTGATGGAGATAACTGTTATCAAGCAAACATTTACTAACAGACTAATCAGTCTTGGCAGGATCAACCCTCTGTGGTATTTTCTTATACATATACTTTAAGACAAAGGACTGGAATGTGAAATTTAGGCCCTTCAAAGCTACTTGCCCTCATTACCCTTGGGGTTCTAGGAATTTCATTCTAAAGGGCCATTAGCAGTAGTTAGTGTATGTGTGTGGGGGAGTACAGAAAATGGCCCTTTCTGAGTTAGAACTTCACTCTTTGTTAAATCAGCTTGAGCTGTACCTGGACATGTTTATTGTATACTTACTCATTTAAATAAATAGCAAGACTCTAAAGTTATCCTGCTATACATTTTTAAAAATCTTGAGTGGCTAGCACTCTGTTTCCATGATAACCTTCTTCACTGAATGAAGTATGTGAGACAGCTGTGAAGGGGGCTGCTCTTGGTGATACCCTCCCTTCGGTCTGACATGGCTTCTCCCTGTTTCTCTAGGGCTCAAGGGTACCATGGAAGGCACAGCTAAATTTTATCCAGCGAGGTGGGAGATCTGCTCCAGAAAGCAGAGTTACAGGTGAAAACTGGACATCAGGAGAAGGCCATTCCTCTAAATGGATCCCCATTTAAAGTAATAGGAGTGACTGGGATGAGAAAGACTGGAATTTCTCAAAGTAGAATATGTATTTGGAAAAAGCCTTGGTTTCCAGGGCACTTGGTAATCCCATGGCAAGTGACATTTTCCACTAGGGGCTCAGTTTTCTATTAGAGGAAAGGAAGGTTGTGGGACAGACTCAGGATACTCAGCATTCCTTCTCATAGAGCAGTGTTCTTCAGTCCTGTCCTTCGGTGCATAGCTGTGAAAGAGGAGTGGGGGTGGAGAGATGTCAAGACACAGGTGGAATCTTGGCATAGGTGAAGTCTGGATATGTTCCTTCTACTGTAATGGTGACCTTCTCACCCATTCTCCCCTGCTGAGAGAAATGACAACAAAGGCCTTTGCAGCACATCCTGCCATCCTGCTTTTTAGATTCCAAATACTTCTTCATCAATGAAAGCCTTTCAGACCCTTGATAGGACAGTAGTTTCACTATGTGATTTGAATGTATCCATCTCAGTGACAGTAAGGAGTATGACTTCATTTCAGAAACTTAACAACATATGGGTGGGGACAAAGACGAGTGAGCCTCATGGCTGTATGACAGAACATGGCTGGATTGGCAGGAAAAGTGACTTTCTACTATTGATTCTTCTAGATCATTAGTTACACATACATAGTTAATCACTCAGAAAAGTCAATACACTTTGTTTAATGATGGGGAAAAAAAAGAAAAGATTCGCCCATATAGAAACTGCATCTTCACAAAATCCCCCACTGATGCTACAACCATGATAATTTAAAAGATGTCTTCTTTTTTCACTAGGACCGATGCGTTCTTGCTTACTCTAGGATCCTCCAAGATCTGCCCCCATACACTTGCATTAGATATTCAAAGTCTACTCTCCTCTACTAACTGCCTGATTTGTTCAGTGTCGTGGCTCATGTTGTCTGGATTTCATCGCCTGCTTTAGAGCAATGTAATAGGAGGACACTTGAGCAGGAGGATACTGTTTTGCTGTGTAGGTATTTGAAAGGGCATCCTGATGAGAGAGAGGGGGAATGAAAAGAGTCTTAGATACTGCAGACTTTACCAGTTATGTCGTGTTGTTTGAATGACTCACTGTAGATCTGATACTGATTTGGACAGTGTTTCTTCAACCACTTGCAGACATCCTGCTGAGTCCACAGGGCCACTGGTTTTGACAGCTTCACTGTAGCTGACTGTAGAGAAAGAAGGAAAGGAGTGTCTGTTAATGTGGCCCCATGCCTAGAAAGATGCTAATTTCAATATCCTAGCATGCTTGGTAAAGGCTATAGCCTGAATTCTCTGACAAAAAATATGTGGCTTATATTATCCCCTAACCTCTGCACCTTCCTCATTTTGTGAACACACACACGCACACACACACACACACACACACACACACACACACACACAGAGAGAGAGAGAGAGAGAGAGAGAGAGAGAGAGAGAGAGAGAGAGA